GGTTCGAAAATCCACCCCTCGGGACGGCAGGCATTTTTGAAACACACTCAACACACTGCACGTGACGCACTTCGCCGCCAGAGCGCGCGCGCACAACCAACACATACACATCGCTTCCACAATTCGCCGGCAGAGCGCGCCGCATTCCCGTCACCCGCCCACGCCTCAGCATCTATGACGTCATGGGCCGCCCTAGGGTCATGCGGGTCTGGGATCAGGAAGTGATAGATAGAGCATCTCCACGTCACCGGCCCACGCCGTCAGCTCCTATGACGTCATGGGCCGCGCAGGACATGCGGGTCTGGGGTAGATTATAAGATAAGATAAGCTTTCTTTATCAACTTCCTGATCCCAGACCCGCATATTCCCCCTTACTAGTAGGTAGCTGAGGTCGAGTTCTGTCATTGTCTGGAGGATATTCTAGCGGCCGGCAGCTCTGACCGTAGTTTTTCCGTTGGTTCTGCAATCAATACCAGGCGAATAGCCGAAATCAAGCAATACGCCTAACAAACAGGCTATGGACTCCCGTGCGATCTTTCTTACCATCCTTGTCCTATCCAATCTCTTATTACACACGTGCTTTCTACCAATGCGGGAGACCTGTAGAGCGCTTAAGGCTTGTCCAGCTGGGGCCTGCCCTCTGGTGGTTGGTGGGAAAGCCGGCGCTACGCACGGTAGTTCGGCGCTGAATCTCACATATAGCTTGAGGAGAATGTCACCGCCACATTCCGGAAAACATGCATACACTTACGGGCCAATGACCTTGTAGCTTGAACGCGCCCGGAAATCACTAATCATCAACTAACCAAAACTATAAAACTAATTTTTGCAGAAGAATGTAACGACTTCAAAAATCTTCTGGAGTCGATTTCAAGGCAAAGCCCAGTCCACTCGTCACCGAACGTACTTCAGAAGTGTGAAAGGTCTATGAAAGTGACGATCCAAAACAGAAATCAGTAATTGATTCGGAACATGAAAATCTCTCAATATAGTGGCATGTAAATTTTATATTATATGGAGCAGACAGAAAAAACAAGGATAAACAGCGTGTGTGATTCAATATTAGCTAAAGCTTTGTTTTCACCTGCTTTCTCTGCTTTGATCGTGTCATTAAGAAAGTGCGCAGGTTCTTCTAGACGTTTTCTAAATGTTTGAGTGACACGATTGATTAA